TGCTGGTCTGGGCTTCTATGATCAAACTTTTTTAAGTTTCCCAAGATTCTTGAGCTGTTTTCCCTTTTAGGATTTTCATTCATGGAATCTTTCCCAAGTTCGCTCTGAGTTTATTGAAATCAGCTCTTTTAAAATCCAAGACTCTGGTGTCATTATGTTCTGTTGCTTGTGTTTCTGTTATGTTGAATTCTAGTATGATGACATGGTCATTCTCACCCAAGGTTCCTGCAGTTTCAACTCCCTCTATCACTTCTTCTCTCTTTGTAAGAATTAAGTCCAGTGGCTGTCCCTCTAGTTTCACCCTCTACCTTTTGGACAACAAAGTTGTCAGCTAAGAGTTAGGAACTTATAAGTTAGAACTTATTTGATTTTCACTTGGTGCAGAATTAGTTTTCCAATTGATATCAGGATAATTGAAGTCTCCCATTTCTATTGTTGTGTGTTTCCTGCATATGTTTGTTAGTTGGCTGGCAAAAGGGGACATCTATTTTTTCTGCTTGATTGGGTGGTCTATAATATACACCTATGGCCATGTCATTCTTTTTTTCTTTTATATTGACCCATATGCATTCTAGGAGGTTTTCTTCTTTGGTTTCATGCATTTCTGTAGCAATATAGTGGTCCTTTACATACAGTGCAACTCCACCTCCTCTTTTATGGGGTCTGTTTTTTTTTAATAGTTTGTATCCTTCTACCAGTATGTTCCAGTCATGGGTTTCATCCCACCAAGTTTCTGTTATTCCAACTATATCACATTTACCTTCATGTATTTGTAGTTCGAGTTCACCCTGTTTGTTCTCCAGACTTTGTGCATTTGTATATAGGCACTTGAGATCTTTATGTCTGACACTGTGTTTACTGTCTGCATAACCTGTGTTGTACCTGCCTGCTCCTACTTTCTTGCCACCTGTTTGATTAGTGCATATAGTATGGCACTCACTAGTAAATGCTTGGTTTTGGTTGGCATCAAGGTTAATAATCTTACCTGCACAAACATCTATTTTGCATGCACTGGTATCCTTATTAGTTTTAGGTTGCTGGGGTCAGAAATGTTCTGAATCCATTAATTCTCTGCTGTTCAGTTTAAATGTTTATCTAGGAAATCTGTGAATTTAATGCCAAGTAACTCAGTCCCTTTCTTTGATGGATGCAAACCATCTCTTTTGTACAGTTTTTCATTAGACCAGCTGCAGACATCATGACTAATAAAACCAAAGCCTTCCCTTTTACACCACTCCTTTAGCCACACATTAAATTCTGCTATACACTGCCCTTTCCCTTTTTGTTCCTTGTATACTGGTAGAACCTCTGAAAAGATAAGCCTACAGCCCATATTACTAAGCTCATACCCCAAGCTCTGGAAGTCTTTCTGAACAGAAAGTACATCCTTCAGGGATAGATCATTTGTACCAAGATGTATAATAGCATCAACATCACAGCCCTTGCTGGCATTCTTGACTAGCTTAAGAATACGCTTCCTGTCTCTGCTGGCAGTAGCATCTGGTAGACACCTGACCTCTTTCAAAACCTCAGTATCCTTTCCTAAATTTACACCCCTTACAATTGAGTCCCCAACCAGAAGGTGGCTTCTCTTTTTGGATGCCTTGCTCTTCTTGTGTGACTAGTGTGTAATACCTGATTCACACTTTCTCCTTTCCAAAGTAAGTTCTTCCTCTAGGACCATGATCCCCGGCTTACTTGAGTTATCATTATCACAACTACCTTGACCTATCACTTTAGTGTCCCTATTAAGATCAGCAAGGGCATTGTATCTTTTATGCTGGGACACAGCAAAAGCTTTGTGTTTATGGTCCACAGCTCTCACCCTGCCAGATCCCATGGTTGTCCATACTACCCTTTTCCTATAGGATCTTTGTGGTAGTTGGGGCTGGTAGCACAACAGCTCAATAGATGGCTGGTTTGGGCACCTAATTTCTGCTTGGAGAGCACAGATTAGAGATTTTAGATAGGTAATCTGTCCATGTAGACTGGTAATTTTTTTACAAAGAGGACAGTATCCAAGTTTGAAAAGTACTACGAAAGACAGCCATAAAAAAAGTATTACATTGAACTAAGCCGGTCATTTTGAAATAAAATAAAACCACAATCTCAAGCGCACTTACCCTAAATGTCTTATTGGTATTCTTGATTTATAGTTATGTGATTCGTACGACATTAGGGCCGCTATCTTTCTCCTTTCTACTCATCCTCTGCTTCCTTCACAAGCAGCCAGAAACTCCTCCCACAACTCTGGGAATTTGAAATGCAATGGAAGCAATTCAAACTGCCTCTCTCTTTTCTACTCACCCACTGCTTCCTTCACAAGCAGCCAGCAGTTCCTCCCACAACCTCTGGGAATTTGAAATGCAAATACATCCTCTGTCTTTAATGTCCTTGCCCAAGGAGTGGCATGGTTTCACCTTCCACTCGGAAGATTGAAAGTTCAATCCTGGGTAGTAGCAAAAGTTTCTCTCTTAGGGTGCAAAATAAAAATATCTGCTGAGAATTCCATGTAAGCATCAGGAAGGGAATCCAGCCAGTAAATTCTTAGCTCTAGACAGCCACCCTGACTCTACTCCAAATTATACAGTCATAAAAAGAAAGAAAAAGTTCTTGCCCAAGCAATGGTAACTTCTGGAAGATACACAGTTATCTGAAATACAACTATGTATCTTCTGAAACTTGGGTTCAAAATTAGGCAAAATATAACTTTTCTCCTGTTACCACCCACTTTTTTGTATCCTTATCTATATTTTGGAACATGACTCAAAAATACTACCTCTTGGTAGTCCTGGTCTGAAAACTCTCAGTCTGAAAAGTTTCTGCAGCACTGGTCTGCATAGTGGAAATATTTTTAATAAGAAGCACTGCATTGATATGGATAACTGCATTCTAAACATTACATCCTAAATTATTTGCATTATGCAATCAAACTACTGATCAACTATTCATTGACTAGGCTTAGGGTTAGAGTTTATTTGTAAGTTAGCAATAAATCTAATCTTCCTTCTCATTTCTGGGTGACAGCACTAACAATGACAAAGAGTTATGAAACATTTTACCCATTAGACATGTACTATGAATGAATAAGCAACTATCATTGCATCATATAATTAAATAGAAACAATCTAGAAAGACCATGTGACGCCCCATTATCTTCATTGTAAAGACTGTTATTGATGGCATGAATCATTATGATAAAAATAAAAATGTAGTTAGGTTTGTGATGAATAACTTCATTATTTCAAATGTGGCAGATCCTTGTAAAGTTCCAGCCAGATTTGATAACCTTCTGCAAGTGCATTTTTCATTAAAAAAAAGATAATTATGTCTGTTTTCTGCATTTTGGCTCAGTGACCTACTGAAGTGTTAAGTATATCATTGTTTCATCCTGGAAAATACTTGAAAATTGGATTAAATAGGTATGAAATTCATATTTTCCTAAGAAACATAGTATGTAGCTATAACTGATTTGCTTCAATGAATGAAATGTTGCAATTTACATATATTCCCCAAATATTCATAAACTATGATGATTAGATATAAAATCTGTATGCACATATACAAATACTTCTACTATCTATAGTTAAAGCCCTAAGATGTCTTGATATTGTGAAACAGTAGTCATTTATGGAATTATAATTATACAAGTTTCCCAAAATACACCATCTGAAAAATCAACAACATGAGGAAATTCTGTTAGCTTGTTTGGGCAAATAACAAATATTTTGCTTCCTGAAATGATAATGCTGGAGTCAATGCAGTCTATCAGTCAATCCATCATGCTCTCAGCAAGCAAAAATTGTGCTGGTTTTGAGAACCGAGATAATTCAGTTCCATATTGACAGATATTTCAATGGAAAAAGCAATCAGCTCCATTGAACTTCTTTCATTTTAGTAGACAGGGTATTGAGATGTAGGTGATGTTAACAACAAATCAGTAATAACACTGATTCTATCAAAATGTATATAAATCCCAATGTACTATATCTATATGAAAACATTTTATAACTGTTTTTTAAATAAGCAACACTACAAAACCAGGAAAATGTAGATAAGAGCAGTCTGAAAAAATTATATAATGTTATATGAAGTGACTTCTGCTTAAAGATATAAATATATCTTCCTAATTTGCAGAGCAGTCTGAGAAGAGAGAAGTATTTGATGTCAGTAGAAAATCCAGTCCATTAGCTAATGGACACAACTGAGTATGACCCAGAGGTTAAAAACAAGTTCAACTCTTACCATTTCCAAATTTATAATTATGCTCTGTATAAATGGCTCTGCTACTTATATTTTATGTGCTAATTCTTGGACTCTGGGTATTCAGCAACCTGTATACCTGTTAAATCTATGATGATAGAAACGATTGAATGGAAACCTATACATTTAGAAGTTTATGCATTTAAACTTGATATTGCTAATTTCCATGATGTACATATGAAAATTAGAGGTAATAATAATGAAATAGTAACAAAGGACTAAATGAGCAGCAGGTACTAATCAGAGGCACAACCAGTTTTATTGATTAATAATAAACAGTATTTTACTACTGTATCTGAAGAGCGCAAGAAAAACTGCAAAAATGCTTGTCCCCTTGAAGTTACAGTGTTGGCACTCATTATTGAGATATTATTGAGACATAACTTGATGAACTGAGGAGAATTGGCTCTGCCGATAATGGCTTCAACAATTAGTTCAGAATGTGTACATTACTGTTACCTAAGTTTATAGGATTAGTGAAGTCATACATTCATTATCACAGTATACAAGACTGATGCCCATACTTGTAATGAATGTCTTGAACTCATCTTTGCTTCCCTCCCTTGAGTAAAGAATCTCCAATTCTCTCTTTCCCATATTTTCCTGAATTCTTAAATACATTTATAGGAAAGTCAGCTGCATTGTTTTGTTTTGTTTTGTGTTGTGTTGTGCTGTGTTTTGTATTGTTTTTTTTTTTAGCAGATTTTCTGGAATAGCAGAAAGGAGTTCTAACATACCTTTTAAACTTGTAGATTATAAAAACAGCCAAGCCGACAAAGACCACTGAGAGCAACATCAGCATTGCAGAGCTGCTGTGTCCAGCACCAGTATCAACAAGAGGTGCTGAGGGGATAGAAAAAGATCATATTATACATAAGATGAAGTCATTAAATGTATAGATGGCAGGATGTATCAGTCTTGTGCCTTTGCTGCTGCTAGGTTACTATCATTACCAAGATGTGTGTGCATATTTATATTTGTCTCTGTTTGTGTGCTGTAGTCAAGGGTATGGTGAAGAATCAGTACTATTCCCTTGGAACCCTCAAGGTTCCAAGTAGCTCCATAATGAAAAAGAAACAGCAGGTTGCCTAGTAACTAAACCATTTCATTCACTGCATGTGCTCTTTTTGTATCTGCTCCCTGTTTTGTGGTCTCCGTTTGATATATTACAACCATGCTGGACACAGCTGCTAATCGGGAACAGTGTTTGCAAAAGACTCAAGTCAACGCTTTTCAGACATGACTTTATCATAATGTTGGCTGTAGTTTTTAATGCTATGCAGAAAACAAATCCTTCATTCTTTTCTCACTTTTCATCAATTTGATGAAAGAGAATTGCTTTCAATTATCAACTATCCTTTTAGTTTTGAAAAGCCATTTCAGCCAAGAACAAATCATTTCCTATCCCCCCACTTTAATTTTAATATGAAGTCACCATAGATATACTTTAAGAAAACTTTATATTTTCCCTTTTAAAAACTCTTAGTTGTCATGATTACTTCTTAAGGGAGGAAAACTAAATAAAGTTTCCGTTTTTTTCTGTTCTTCTTTTACTAGGTTGTAAAAATAAAAGTATGGCTGAGTTTTAATTGAAGGACATAGAACTGGATAAATAAATATCTTGTTTATGCCGTAGTCATGTTTTTATAGACAGACTATTTCATTCCTACTGAACATCAATCAATACCACATTAAGCCTTTTCAAAAACAACTCTTGCTCTCTTTGAATTGGGTACCTAAATTGTTTTATCCCCCAATTAAACCTAGATTTATGACTAGGGATTTCTCAAGCACCTCCCTTTTCATTTTCTTTCAACTGAAACATATTTAAATGACTCCTACTTAGATTGGATTTCACCCACCTAGTGCCTTTAAGAGGTATTTGGACATCTTCCAGAATACCTAACAAGCTTTCCTGAAAGTTCGCTAGAAGTTCAGTACCAATTTGTCCAAGAACAATGCCCAGGATCAGTATGATAACTTTCTTTAGTTTTTATTTTCTTTCCAGAAAAATATAAGCTATTCATAAGATATTATATTGTGTTCCCTAGATCTTTTGTCCTCTGCCAACTTACCTAATGTTAACTGAGTGACATAAACAATGATTTCCACATTGGGCTTCAACTCAAATTGAACCAGGTTCTGATTTAGAGCACTGAAAAGGATTTCAACAGCCTGTGGACAGGTAGAAGGAGACACAGTTAAATATTAATAAACAACAGCAATTAATACTATTTCTTACTGGCATATGTGTGTTAACAGCAAAATAATTCACCACATTAGTTTTTTCTAAAATCTGAATTATTATATCAATAACACATAAAAGAATCCTTTTATGTGTCAGAATAATCCCAAAACATGAAGAACGGGGGGGGGGGGGGGGGGACTTCTGGAAGTAACGCTGTTGGACTTGAGAGTGGAGTGGGAAAAAATGGCTTTCATAGCAATTACATTCCGTTTTTTAATTACTAAGTTATTGCTGTTACATTATTTATCAGTCACATAAATATATTTTTAAGATTGCATTTGGAACAACCTAGAGCTGCAGCAGATTTAGTTCCAACTGTAATTCTCTCTTTCTCTTTCTCTTTTTCTCCATTCATGCACACTTACTTACATGTGGGTCTGTGTGCACGCACATATGCGCGCGCACACACACACACAAACACAAATACAAACACAAAATAATACGGCTTGTGCTTTTGCTTTCAGAAAAACCTAAGATCAATGTCCAATAATTTTAGAGAGAGCTACGAAAAGTATGAATTTGTCAATAGGGATTTTGGTAAGCTTATAACTTTTGAATTACCCATTAGGTCCAGTGAGTTCTAACTAAATGACAGAAATGTAATAGCCTTCTTAGGGGTTCAAGGGCATTTTAACCACTATAAAGCAGGAGTTAAGGCACAATATGAAGACATAATATGAAAATGTCCCTAAAGCTACATTTAAATTTTGCTAAATTATTAACACAGCATTATTTCTTTGACAACTGTGTGTCAGAGAAATGGCAGCTTGCCAAAAGGGAACACAGTTTTTTCTGCAATGACCTTGGTAGCAGAAAACTTCATGAAACAAAAGTTCCCTTTTCCCAAATCACATTCATTTCACTTTATCATGTAATTTCATTTGAAATCTTTCAGCTCAACATTTATATGAACAAATGTAATGTATATGTTATGGATTGTTAGACACCCACACTTTTTTAGCAGGCTATCAGCAAGAGTAATGAAATTTGCTGTAAGGTCCCGTTATAAGATTCGCTCCTCAAAAATTTAAAAAAGGACATATCTGATTACTAAAATGTTGAACTGAAACACAACTGATTAAAAACTGAGGAAGGAAGATGTTTTCACTTGGAATCAAAGAAAGGATATGACAGATAAAGTACATCAGTGGAAAAATCCTTTTCTTCAGTAAACTTCCTGAAAGGAAAAGTCTGGGTTAGAGCATAAAGGCAGTCATTCAGTTCCCTTGGTCCCATGTGAGGATAGGTTTAAAGATCAAATCTGGCACCTTGAAGTGGCTTAGAACAAATGAAATAGGAGCCAATTAATCTTGAAAAGCACTTGTGTGTGAGGCAAGAAAATCTTAAAAATTAAAGTACCCTATGAATTTAGTTGTTTTCTGAAAAAAAGATTTTGACAGGTATAAGCTAAATGCAATGTACAAAGACTGGGAAAACTGCACCTGCTGAAATATTGTATTCTACATAATTATTCCAAATACAGTATGTTCCATTAAATTTTGATTATATTAATTACAATAATTGCCTGATACAGTTGGCATGTCAGAAACTTGCTGGATTGGTGAAAATCAATTTGATACAATTATATTTGTCTATAGAAAGGACAGAGGCAGTATACTGTGACGGTGTTCTGTATTTCAAAGAAGTCAAGGCATGATTAAAATGGAAAACGGAAAAAAGAAAGGGGAAAAAATGGAAGGAAGTTAAATAACTGCAGCTCCCTTCAAATTAGAGCTATATAGGCAAAAAATGATTGGACTTTAGAAAAAAATATTGAGCAAACAAGAGAGCTTTTATTTAATCCAGAGTTGGGCAACCCCTTCTGTTGCTACTCACTCATCATGGTTGCTGGAAATCAATTGCAACACTTTCTACTATTTTGGTAAAGGGAAAAAAACAAACAAATAAGCATGGAACTTTAGTGTTAAGCAAAAAAGAAAACTTTTGGTTACAGTCTCTCATTCACCTAGAAATTAATTTTCTTGAAACAAGATAAACATACTTTTCAGGCCACACAAACTTTTAATGTAGGCAAAAAGGAAACTTTAGCATCATAGGGCCACAACCACAACCACAGTCACTTCAGTCTCAGCTCCATGAAAAAAAATAACGGCTAGAAGAATTATCATTCAAATTTAATTAAGTGTGGCCAGTTCTGACTTAGGGGAATTTATTACATTACTATACATACTGCATTCTACAGCTAATTACCATTTGTCTTCTATCCCATTGATATGGTACAAAAAGAACTTGAATGTTTTGTTGCAACTCAAAAAGCAATCTTGAATTGGTTGCCTATTGCTTTAGGATTTCTTGCACTGTGATTTAGCAACTACCTATCTAATCAAGTATATGTATAAAGATGAAGAATTAAAATCAGGGGGAAAAACATCAACAGTTTGGAATCATGTTGAAGTAATTTGCATCTGATGCAAAGTAGGATGGAGAAAACATGATGATCCTTATACTCAGATTATTTCAAGCCATATCAAAGGCAGCATAGGATACAACAACAATTCTCTTTAACTTGCTGGTGTTTATGAGCATTTTCAATTATGAGTTGGAAGAAGGCAGCAAGCAGAGGATAGTTCATACTTAGATAGGGCTGTTAACTGTTATTCAGAGTTGTAATAACAGGAATATAAATTATAAACCTAATGATAGCAATAGCAATAGCATTTATAAACCACTTCAAAGTGTTTTACAGCTCTCTGTAAGCAGTTTACAAGGTTGGCATATTGTCTCCAACAATCTGGCTCCACATTTTACTGACTTCAGAAGGATGGAAAGCTGAGTCAACTTTGAGCTGCTCAGAACTGAACTCCTGGAGTGAGCAGTGAGTTAGTTCTGCAGTACATATTCTAACCACTGCGTCACCACAGCTCTATTCATGATGAATGGATGAGTGATATATTTCTTCTTACATGTTTTATCTGGGTCCTAAAACCATCTTTATAGTCTCTATCTCTTAATACTTTCATTTGTGCAAGTATGGAATTGGATTTCTTTCTCTCAAGCGTATATTATGTTTTTCTGCTTCTATACTCTTTAATAAATCTCTTTAGTAACTTTCTATTTACTTAGTAGTATCTTTGCAGAGAGAGCCAATTTGGTGCAGTAGTTAGGCAAAAAACTGGAAATCCGTGACTTTTAGTCCTGCCTTAGCCACAAAGCCAGCTGAGTGATCTTGTATGAGTCACCTTCTTTCAATCCAAGCAGGCAGGCAATGGCAAATTACTTCTGAAATCTTACCAAGAAATTTGTAGGACATAGGAGTTAAAAATTGTTTTAAAGGGACCAAAAAAATCTTTGCAGAACAAAGATGTGGTAACAAGAAAATAAAAATAATAATTTGTATTGTTTCTACTGCATGTTTTTGTGTTATACTATATTTTTAAGCTGACTTAAATTATTAGATGCAGATTTTAAAGTACTGTGTTTTAATTTATTACAAATTCACATATATCACATCTCATGACATGTCCATCAAAATGTTTTATAAATTGTTCTAATAAGAAAGCATATACTCAGAAAATCTACTTGATGATTTCCATTTTGGGGTGGCTGTCAATTACCAGTTTAAAGACAAAATCAATATTTATACAGAAAGTTTGGCAAGCTTAAACTTTCTAGATCAGTGTTTCTCAAGTTTGGCTACTTGAAGATGTGATAATTTCCTAGCCAGTGATGCTTCTGAAAATTGAAGTCCACACATCTTCAAATGGCCATGGCTGAGAAAATCTCCCCTAGATTTGAAATGCTCTTCAGTTCAGAGCCAGTTTAAACAGTTACATAACCACCTGAAAGAAGGAAAACCCCACCTGCTCCAAATCATCTTCACTATCTTTCCTTCTCTCTGATATGTTTTGATGTGGTAAGATGAAGAGCTCTGCAGAGGTAGGCAATCCAGGGAATACTGCTACAAGAATTTGTTCCTTGGGTATACCAGTCACCTAAGCAAAGTGAGAAAATAAAAATAAAAACAGGATTCTTTAGTACATGCTATTGCTACATCCTTAGTATGTAAGTCATTTAACTCTCAACAAACTAACAATGGCAGAAAAAAAGAGGTTGTGAGCCAAATATACACCTAGTATATTTAGTGGGTAAACATTGCACAAAAGCAGACCTGTTTTCATATTTGAAATAATTTCAGAATTCTTGCTCTATAATGAGTAATGTTATGCAATGACAATGATAAGTGATGTGAATAATATTCTGGTTTTGCTATATGATGTTCTTGGAAGACTTGTATGTGTTAAGTTAGAAAGATAGAATGACAGCTTAATGTTCCTTAACTTAGCAATGTTAAGAGAACAAAAATCACTCTGTTTTTGGAGAAGCAGTGGGCAAATGGTGTAGAAAAGGTAATACTATTAAATAAAAAAAAGGAACACCATATAACTTAGCACTTGATACAACAGAGGAATGCATAGCAATATATGCTTGTATAATTTTTTGAAAATCCCTTTTTATAGTACCAATAGAGTTGTTTTCATTTCATTCAACAATTTATGAAAGAAAACATTTAATGTAATAGTTCTATATATAACATACATCTTCAAAACAATAGAATACATTAATGGCAATAAAATACTATTTGACTACATCTACACGTAAATGTGTAATGAATACTATTCTTTTATCTTATTTTGAATAAATTGAATCAATAACTTTATATCTGACAGGTCCTATAAAATATTCTGAATTAGTGAATATTCTAGATCCATTTTTAGGCCAAATAACATTAGTGAACATGCAATGGCCCCATAGAAATCTCAGTAGTGTGCCTCAATAATGTATCTCTTCTTTCCAGTTTTGGACTTGATAAAACTATCTCAGTCACACAAAATACTTTTTTTTGAAGCTAAAATTAGGAATTTCAACAGTATTAGCATCTTTCTCTGCTCATGGTAGTTTGCAAACTGCAATTCCCTAAAGCTCTTTCCAAGTATAAAAAATGGTAGGAGAGAATAACAATTTTGGAAGACCATACTCTATATTTTTGCGACTATCTATCATGTCTGTCTGTCTGTCTGTCTGTCTGTCTATCTATCTATCTATCTATCTATCTATCTATCTATCTATCTATCTATCTATCTCTGTATCATCTACCTCTATTATATATACCCATCCTAATCAGGACTAATCTATACCGTATTGAAAGAGATATACATTCCATTGATACATTTCAACCCTTGATGCCATGTTGTCTGTCTATGTGTGTGCCTTTCTCTGCTTCTCTCTTCCTCCCTCCTTTCCTCCTCCCTTTTCTCTCTAACACACAATAAAATTTATTCTAAAGATAGAATGATCTGAAACTCATTAAAGAGAACCCTAATGTTACTCATGCAAAATCCTTCTGCTTTTTTTAAAAAAATACATCAAAATGCATGGCTTCGGCTACATTTAACTATTAAAACGGAGACTACAATTTTTCACAAAAGTGTTTATTGACTGCAAAAAATCAGTATTCTCTTAAAAGGAAATATGATAAGTTCTCTTTAATAAACAGAATTCATAATTTGTCTCTTATTATTTTGATTATCTAATTCTTAGGAGAAAAGGAATTTTCTAGTATAGATTTACATTGTACATGGGAATTATATTTCATTCTGTTTTGTATTTTAATATGGCTGTCAATCATTTTGTAATTTGCTTTAAAAAGAAGTATCAAGTGGATGTGAAGAATACCCTGAATAAAAGCAAGACGCACAGTATACTATTTGAAACAATGCTGAAAACATTTAAAAATCAAGCTTGAGCTGTCTGCTTCACAATGAGAGCTTTAATATCAGCCACAGAAGTCAACCACTAACATATCTGTCCTGACTAGCTCTGTAAACAGCTTCTTATATTTTGAAAGAATATGAAGAAAGAATAGAGAGCAACATGTTCATAGTAGCCTAAGAGAGGATTTCTAAGCAAGCTAGATTTCAGTTACCACAATACACTGGGCTAAGAAAAAGAATATGAAATGTATAGCCTGGCTGTAGATAAAATAAGTCTCAATATTGATATGAAGACATAAACTGGAGGGAACCCAGAAATCAAAGAAGGGTAAAGAGAAATAGTCTTGGTTTAGGAAAATTTTGGGATATTGATAATTTCCACACGGATATCTCTTTCCTGGAGACTTATCCTCACATATTTTCAACTATTTACCCTGCCAAAGCTGAGGTGAAAAAAAAAAGTTTACTGCCTTATGGAGTGCTTATGGCTGATCTTATGGTTGTGGAAAGATTTGATCAGTACACTGAAAGCAGATGTTTTTAAAACAACAGAAGCAAGTTTACAAAAAGAAACGCTTTTTCATATTCTTTTGTAATATAGCAAGAAAAAAAGTAATTTTCAAAGCTCCTCTATTTTCTACTGGGAAAAGCCAGAGAATGCTTTTCTTTGTCTTTTTTTTTTTTGCAACACTAAACTTGTTAATCAGGATTTCATTGTATATCTTTTAAGCAGAAGAAACAGAGTAAATTGAAAAACCATGTGGAAGATTAGGTGCATTTATTTGTTTATTAAAAGCCTGCATAATAATGGCAAAAATAATGAAAAAGTTCATACTTTTAAAAAATGAATGAATTTATATCTGATGAATTAAAAACAGACACTGTGTATTGCAGTATTTCTATACTATTTGCTAAGGTGGAAGACATAGAACATAATTATAAAAATGAACTTAAAGATAGCATCATTGTGTGAGTCAATTAAGCTGCATTGATCATGAAGACAGATAATATATCCATCTTGAATAACAAACATACATGCACAGACTCAGCAATTAGGGATTCAATGGAAAAATTGTATATTATAATTAATCCCTCCTAACATTTTATATACAAAATGATTGCATCTTCTTATCATCAAAGATTGCACAGATAATACTTCAATAACTGTAAAACATTTTAGTACTAAGAAAACAATTAAAAAACAGAACAAAACAAACATCTTTAAAAAAACAAATCTGGGTTTGTTGGGTGCTGAAAAGTTTTATATAATATTTATCTAGGTAACTGCATGTGTGTATCAGAATGATAAGCCTAGCTTTATCAAAGTTATGGTATGTAATTGAAAATTATAATCTCCTTTCCTGAATTGGGCTTCTAAAACTGTTCAAACTTTAAGAAAAGTATGCTTATTATTATTTGGTAGATTTCCCTAGGTACTCACATGCACTAAAGCTGCTTTGATGACTCGGCCAATGTCTTCTCTCCACTCTGGGATATCAGGATTGTGATAATCCAAATTGGGTGAAAATGATAATAACTGAGACTGAAAATATTCTGCAAAGAAAGAGTGACACACTAAAATTTCAGTACAAACTATTAAGGCTGATTACATTCGAATGGTTAAAATGCATTCATTATAAAGTCATACAACAAAGTTCTACATATAGCTAAAAGAAATCTATAGAAACATATATTCTCAGTAATGTAAAGCATATAAAATATCTTGTATGTTTATTTGTGTGTGGGTGTTGTGTATACGTGTGTGTGTGTGTGTGTGTGTGTGTGTGTGCATTTGTAAATATGAGTGCTGTGCATATACTGCACAATTCTCAAAATCATTTTTGTTCAAGTGAAAATTGACATTCTTCTCAGATGCCAAAAGTTGTTTCTACTATGTAAAGCTTCCACATTAAATTATTATATATTTAATAAAAATGTTTCTGATCTCCCTTTAACTTTCCAGTAAACTATGTGTTTCTGTATGTTCTCCATATATAGAGAAGATTCTATTCAGTATAAAAATCATGTGTACATAAACTCACAACTTTTCATACAAAAGAATTTTAATCACCTTCCATACAAAAAAGTAGTGATGAATAATATTCATAAGTAAATACAGACACTTTCTCATTAATGTTTTTTAAACATCACTTGGACTTCACCTCGGGATTTGACTAATTTTACAATATTGTTTGCTTTGGAGTTGGGTTCCCTTGTTTCCAGCTCTGTTCCTGTTTCATTTCCTTGATGCAATTTTACAAAAGTGATTGATGGTTCATTTTTTCTATGGATAGGCTCTTACCTCATTTCAGGTCCCAATTTATGGGGTGAGGCCATTATTGCTCTTCCCTCCCCCACTGTTTCTACAACTTATGTCTTCTATGTGTGAGCTAGAATTTATTTCTGATCATCCAATCCAATTGTCACAACTACAGGCAAAGATTCAGAGACCATTGTTGTGAGGCAATTGTCTAAATTGTTGTTTAAATTGTCAGCATGCTACCATCTCATTATCAAAACTAAGGTAGTAGTAAGTTGTTTAGCTGACATTTATTGTATAGTATCCTATAATGCTCAGGTGATATTTTTTGCTCTCTCCAAACAATTCCATTGGTAAATGAGCGCAGACTGGATCACGATTATCCTTGTGGGTTTTCTGCATTGTAATGACAGCATATGTGAATACAACGTAAAATGGCTTCAGACTGTTTTGTGAGGCACTGGTATGGGAAGAATATCTTTGGGATACCTTGAACATAGGATGGCACCCTGTATCCCAGGAGGATTCTGAGAGGAGTCAATTGAAAAAGAGAGGGGGAAAAGGGGGCGAGGGTGTAAAACTTAAATAAGAGGCATAAGTTGACAGGAGATTTTTTTAAAAAATAATTTTGCTAAGAAACTAAAAGAAAGGTTGAAATAAAAAGCAGGAAGTTAATCGAAGAATGGTATAAATCCTTTGTGTGACATTTGTCTCTTGCCTAGCATTCTAAACTGTTTTTATTTCATCAATATTGTTCAGCAATAAAACAGGACCAAGAATAAGTTGAGCAGCAGTTTCATAACTAGTGTTTTCTTCTATTGTATTTGACATGCTTTGTGGTCCACTGAGCACATCCTTAGTACTAGTAATCTGTTTTCCAAAAGCAAAGAGATAACCTGTTTGTTAGGTTTATGTGCTGCCATGACTACATAATGCAGAACAAATCAGATTAAGGTAATGACAGACAAATCAGGGTACAGCAGTTCCCGAGACATGAAGAAATCACTCCCAAATTAAATATTTGCAGTAGAGCAAGGCTAATTTAAGTGGGAGACAAGTTTTATGTCTCAAAAATGGACCATTTCTCTGGACAAAAGGTTTATTTGGCTTTTAGTAAGCTTCTTGCTTATTTGTTTGCTTTATTCTTCATCTTTACTGATAGTTCTTCTCATTATCTCCTATTTTTCTCAAATACTTCATTCTATTTTTGAAGATGTTTTTATATGTTTATATATTTTTATATTTTTATGTTAACCTAATTAGGGCTTTAGAAGTAGAGATTCTGTGGCCTGATCTGATACTAATGACAGTTCAGATAAGCAAAATCCAAGACTAAGACCTCCAAGTATTCCAAACTTTGAGTACAGGCCCCAAAGACTTATCACCAAATTGTATGTTTTAACAGGACAACCAAAGAAAGCTATTTAATAAATAGCTGGGGAATAAATCATTTTAATTATATTTAAATAAGTAATGTTAATGTTCATGAAATAGAAATGAAGTTTAATTTCTCTCAGAGATGTGATCCAAAAATACTTAGCCTATAAGGGAGTGCATGCCCCTTAAATTCCCTCTATATTTAGCAATGTGTGCTGATTGGGTGGGAGCAAAAAGTAACTGTTATGTCCTGAGGACTCAAGGAGTTCTCACTCAGGTCCACTCACTTTGTGTGGGCGTTATTCCCCCATTCCCATTGGTCAGTTCTCCCCAGCAGCCAGCTATAAAAGCAGGCTGCGGGGTCCAACTGGCTGCTGATTGCTGCGAGCCAGTTCCAGGCTTGGCAAGCACGGTCAGCCCTTTATTTGTAAAATAAAGTACTGTTGCACTCATGCTCTGGTTCAGCCTCTCATTGCTCAAACTTAACACTGGCGACGAGGATGGGATGGCTACCAGAAGCACCTTGCAACCGCTGAGTCACTAGCCACCGATCTACAGCCCAGAGAGAGCGATCGGCTGGCAACAAGGGAAACGCTGATCCGCAGCCAGAGAGAGCGGTCAGCTAACGAAACGAGCGATCAAAAAGAGCAAACGCAGATCCGCAGCCAGAGAAAGCGGTCTGAGTCAAATAGTTAGAAGTGTCTGTAGCCGCTTGTTAGCCTCGCTACGGGGAAAGTGAAGCGCTGCGAGCCGCAGCCGCTCTGCATTTGGCGCGAAATTCAAACGGGTGTCATTTGAATTTCGAGCCAGTAGGAATCACAGCACAGCGCTGTAGAGAGTCACTAACGCCCACTTTTTTGGCGCGAATCAAGACACCTCCAACGGCTAGCAGCCAACATGGTAACCCAGAGAGAGAGAAAGAGAGGGTAGCAAAAAACCTCTCCAGAGCTGATATCACTAGTAACTCACGAGCGTTCGTAGTCCCAGAGAGATTTCTCCCGCAGGTAGCCCAGCCGTTCCAGCACCATGGGTTCCAATCCAGTATTCCCGGCGTTTAAACCAGACGAAGAGAAGTGGGAATCGTATAAGAACCGTTTCAATCATTACATCGATGCGGTCGGCCTGTCGGATGCGGGAGAGCATCGGAAAAAATCCTATTTCCTAATCTACTGCGGAGCCACCGTTTACGATACCGCTGCAGCACTCGTGGCGCCGAGAGAATTAAAAAACGTTCCGTGGTCCGAGTTGCTTGAGATCCTCACAAACCACTACGCTCCCAGGCCTTCACAAATCGCCAGGAGGTTCACGTTCCGAATGAGGAAGCAATCAAGTAAGGAGACCATCAACCAATATATGGCCGGCCTCAGAACAGCAGCCCTGCACTGCGGGTTTGGAACATACCTGGAGGACATGCTCCTCGATCAATTGGTTTGTGGGGTCAAGGATCTCAACCTACAGAGGCGACTGCTAGCTAAAAAAGACCTCAACCTCGCGCAAGCGGTAGAGGAGGCCCTAGCAGCCGAGCTAGCAACAAACTCAGCCACCGAAATTCAGGGCCCAAGCGCCAAGCTAGCAGCGTTCCCAGTCCATTCCGAAGAGGTGGAAGCGGAGGAAGCCTACAACGATGAGAACGATGTCCATCGCCTCACCAATGACAGACGGTCGCAGGTAGGGGCCAAACAAGAATACACCGGTCCACCCAAGCACATCACCCTGTGCCTAGCCTGTGGGGGATCACATCAAAGGGCCACCTGCAAGTTTAAAGGAGCCGTTTGCAACAACTGCCATAAGAGGGGGCACATTGCAAGAGTCTGCCAAGCCCCCCAAAGCGCTGCACAAAGACCCCCGTCCTCGCACTCGGGACCACAGAGGCAAGTATTAAACTGTCGCACGCACCGCCTTGCCAGGCGTACTTGCCACTCTGTTAGTAAAATTTCTCTCTCCGTTTCCCTAGAAGGTAAACCGTGCCACATGGAGGTTGACACAGGGTCAGCGCTCTCAATAATCTCGTGGAACACCCTCAAGAGACTCCACCCCAGCCTATCTACTACCCAGCTTCAGAGATGCCAGTTCGGTCTGAAGGACTACCAGGGGAAGGCCATTCCCGTGATCGGCAGAGGCAAGTTCTTTGTCAGTTTTAGAGCTTTTAAAGGCCACCTACCTCTAGTGGTAGTTAACGGCAATCTACCCACCTTATTGGGGCTCGATTGGTTTCCCCACCTCAGCCTAGGGTTAACAGGAGTCCATGCTGTCTCAACCTCAGACACTGACTCCTTATTCGCTGACTACGCAGATGTGTTCAGCGAGGAGCTGGGGTGTTATAATGGAACCCCCATCTCGTTCACCGTTGACCCCCAGGCAGTCCCAATCAGATTAAAACCACGGAGAGTTCCATTTGCTATTCGACCAAAACTAGACGCTGAATTGGATAAACTACTAAAACAAGGGGTCATTGAGCCAACAGATTTCGCCAAGTGGGAGACGCCCATTGTCACACCCCTCAAAAAAGATGGTAGCCTGAGAATTTGCTCGGACTACAAGACAACAATCAATAAATATTTACAAGTTAGCGCCTACCCCGTGCCCGTCATTCAGCACTTATTGCACACATTCGAACCGGGCAGTATTTTTGCTAAATTGGACATGTCTCAAGCATATCAACAGTTCCCTGTTGATAACCAAACAGCGGAACTTCAGACCATCGTCACTCACAGGGTGCCTTCCGATGCAAGCATCTCCAATTTGGCGTAAGTGTTGCCCCGGGTATTTTTCAATCCCTCATGGAGCGGATTTTACAGGGCCTCCCTGGTGTAGTACCCTACTTCGACGACATCTTGGTCTCGGCCAGGGACAGACCCCAACTCTTCCAGAGAGTGCGAGCAGTGTTAGAGAGGTTCAGACAGCATGGCCTCAAGTT